CTGGGAATGGTGGGGCTGGGAATTGTGGGGCTGGGGAAACTGAGGCTGGGAATGGTGGGGCTGGGATTGGTGGGGTTGGAGAAACTGAGGCTGGGAATTGTGGCGCTGGGCAAACTGAGGCTGGGAATGGTGGGGCTGGGGAAACTGAGGCTGGGAATGGTGGGACTAGGAATGGTGGCGCTGGGAATGGTGGCGCTGGGGAAACTGAGGCTGGGAATGGTGGCGCTGGGAATGGTGGCGCTGGGGAAACTGAGGCTGGGAATGGTGGCGCTTGGAATGGTGGCGCTGGGGAAACTGAGGCTGGGAATGGTGGGGCTGGGAATGGTGGGGCTGGGGAGACTGAGGCTGGGAATGGTGGGGCTGGGGACAGTGAGGCTGCGAAGGGTGCAGCTGGGGACAGTTACCCTGGGAATGGTGGGGCTGGGGCATTGGAGCCTGAGACAATGGGTAGCTAGAAAGGATGATTCCTGGTAGCAAGTGAAAGGGCCATGTGGAGGAGGGCTCTGAGAGATAGATTTAGGAGAAAGGACCAAGCTGTGGTCCCTGAGAGTCCTGCAGGAAAGGACAGAGATTCCGTCCCATGGCATTTACAGAGCCCTGCCCTCTCTCAGCTGCCCCCTGCCCTGACTGTCTTGGCACTGAACCAGAGAGCTCTGGATGCCTGGGAAAACTGATTGGCAGGCCTGAGAGTCTGAGCTGTCTGTCTGCACACAGGGATGGGCGTCTCCACAGTGACGGCCGCCCGCATCCTTAAGGGCCAGCTTCACCATAACACGGGGGAGGAAACGCGGCTGGAGATGGACAAGTTCCCCTTTGTGGCCCTCTCCAAGGTGAGCTCTGGCCCAGGTCCCTCACACCTCCTGGGTCGAGTGGTCCCACAGTGGAACCAGGACAGGAGCAGCCATTCCCAAGGTTTTTTGAGGCTTTTCGCACATTGATCTAGATCCTGTTGGTGTGTAACATGCCCAGGAAACAATACGTGCAGTCTAGCTTGCCTCTTTCCCAAGCTGCAGGTGTCCATGTAACCAACACCCACCTGGCTCTTGCAACGGAACATAGACCTGCTCTCCCCTGAGCCGTGTCTTGTCCTTGTCACTTCCTCCACTGACAGTAGTCACTGTCCTGACCCCTACACCTTTGGTTGTGACTGCTCTTGTGTTTTTGTAAACAGAGTCAGCCTAGCTCCCACCTCCCAGGTTAGATTACCAGTGTGAGTCATTCAGTACCCTGCATGCCGGGGGGCAGCTGTGGTTATTGGGGGACGGTATATAATATAGCAAGCTCCTCCTGGCAAGGCTTCTTCTAGTGGATGAATGGGGGGGCTGTAGTTTCTGCACCTCTGGGGAGCTCTCAGGCTCATGGAGGCCAAGAAGGTAGGCCTATAGGATCTCCCTGGGAAGTCTGGACATAGTGGTGACCATTTGCAGGGGCAGCAGAGAAGCCACATTGGTCTCTCAGACCCACCGTCCCCTCCCGGCATCCCCTCCCCTCAGGGACATTTTTCCTCTCCCTTTGCCCGACCCACCTGCTCCCCACCCTTGGCTGGATCCACAGACCCTGACTCAGAGGGAAACCTTGAGTTCTGCCAAGGCATGGGAAGCAGGCAGCTCGGTCAGGTGACCTTCTGCTTCCGGGGGGGACCTCAATGAGCAGCAGCACCCCTCACATGTTCCCTTGATGGGAATGGAGGTGGGGTGTCCACGGTGGGTGCCCGTCCCCTGACTCTCCCTCCCACCCGCAGACATACAACACCAACGCTCAGGTCCCCGACAGCGCGGGCACCGCCACGGCCTACTTGTGTGGCGTGAAGGCCAATGAGGGCACTGTGGGAGTGAGTGCGGCCACTGAGCGCACGCGGTGCAACACCACTCAGGGGAACGAGGTCACCTCCATCCTGCGCTGGGCCAAGGATGCTGGTGAGCCATCACAGGCAGAGCTCCTGTGACTGTCTGGGTCTTAGTCTCCCCGTCCGTGCGTGGGAGGGTGGAAGCAGGCTCTCCAGAGCCTCTGGCTCCCCTGGGTAGGGGGCCCAGGGGAGCCCCTTCTGAGCTGAGGGGTCTGTGCGCTTCACTACAGAGTGGGCACGACTGTAGTGAAGTTCTGAGTGGAGGTCAAAGCACCGAGTCAGGGCCAGCCTGCAGCAGTTCAGAGTGACTGCTCCTTCCTTCTGCCCCAGGGACTTGGAAGGCAGGGTGACAGAGCCCTTCGCTCTCCATCTGAGGCCCCTTTGGGGCTGCCTAGGGCTTCCTTTAGTCATGGGCTTCACAAGTCATGGATGCAGGAGAGGACCTCAGCCCACCTCAGGTACAGGGAAGGGTGTTCAGCTGCATCTGCCTTCAGGCAAACTAGGGAAACTGAGGCCCAGGCAACCAGAGGAACTGATTTTTTGGGAGGCAGTCTGTGGCAGGGAGGGGGAGGTAGAAGTCCGAAGGGACTTCCTTATCTACGAGGTGTGCTAACCTCTCCTGTCCCACACCTCAGGGAAGTCTGTGGGCATCGTGACCACCACGCGGGTAAATCACGCCACCCCCAGTGCAGCCTACGCACACTCGGCTGATCGGGACTGGTACTCAGATAATGAGATGCCGCCGGAGGCTCTGAGCCAGGGCTGCAAGGACATCGCGTATCAGCTAATGCACAACATCAGGGACATTGATGTAAGTGGGAGCACCAGGCATGGACGGGGTGGCAGGGTGGGGGACAGTGAGGTGCTGGGGCGGGGGGTGGGGCTTAGGCCCCGGATGGCCTGGGAAAGGCCGGGGTTCTCCACGCACCTGGGAGAGCTCCCAGACCATTAGGGGATTTGTGGTTGGGTCAGGCACCCACTGGAAGGTTTCTCTGTGAGGCACACCATCATGTGGCTGCCACACCCTGCGAACGGAGTGCCCAGGGATTATTCCGTGAGTTAGGGCCTGATGCTGCTCCCCATGCCCGGTTCTCACTGCCACCTACCTCCCTGGTATCCACTGACGTCTGCTGCATACACTCAGTATACACTGATACACACACACACACACACACACACACACACACACACACACACGGACACGGACACAGACACGGACACGGAAACATGGACACACGGTGTGGTCTTAGGGATGGCCTGCCCTCCGTATTCACGCTTGCACAGAGTGGCACGTGCCTGCACACAGAGCTGACATGCCCAGGAAAGGTCCAGAGCATGCCATGCCTCTCCCACCCTTTCTCTGCTCTTGGCCGCCTGCTTCTGTGACCCTGTGCCGTTACCCAACCTCTCTGAGCTTCCCCTTGTACAACCCTTCTGCCAACTGGACCTGCTCCAGCAGCTCACTGCAAGAACGAAGTGAGTAAATCCCAGCTGAGTCTGGCGCAGAGCCTGCCCTGTGAGTGTGAGCGGCAGCCCTTACATGTAGGCCACCTGTCCTTGACGCACACACCTCAACACCCCCAAACACGTTCTTACATGCAGGCCTCAGCTCTTGGGGAGAACTTCTGAATTGTTCTCTTTCTACTACAAGGGTTGACCATGACTTAGGCCCGTTGAGCCTGAAATATGGATCCATTGAGGCTCAGAGAAAGCCCTCAGATCCAGGTGCCGTGTCTCCCTGCCCTCCTCAATCTCCCTCCCTCTCTCTCTCTCTCTCTCTCTCTCTCACACACACACACACACACACACACACACGCACACACACACACACGCACACACGCACACGCAGGCACGCGCGCTCTTTTCCAAGTAGCGGGTGAAGCGCTGCCTTCGGGACCACTGGTCCTGTTGACTCCTCCTAGGAAAGAGTCACCTGGGACACAGCCACCGGTCTGGCTTTATCTCCACCTTCCAGGCAGCCCTTCCCCTCCCTTCCCCTCCCACTTCCCACCTGCCGGCTCCCAGGGCTCCCAGGGTGTGCTGCAGGAGGCCAGGATGAGGTCATGTGTGAGAACACTGGTCCCAGCTAATTACAGGAACTCTTTAGCCAGCTTGGCCAGCGAGAGGCACTTTGGGACAAGATGCTTCGGACGGAGGCAGCGAGGGAGCTGGGGTCTCCTAGAGCCGTGAGAGCATGAGCTAAGGAGTGGGAAAGGAAACCCTTAAGGCCCCCTCTGCCCTCTGTCACCACTGCTCCAAAAGCCTCCCAGACCGTTCATGAAACGAAAATCGTGGTGTCCACTCTGAAAACAAATATCTTGAGCTTTAAAGAGAGAGAGGGGAAGACACAAACCTAAACCCCAAAGGCGAACAGCGAGCCTGTTATTTGGGACTTTAATGAGCCCGTGTGAAGTCTCCGTTGGGCTGGGAACCAAGCGCTCCCGGCAGGAAGATTGGGGGCTTCAGTTCCACTCTGAGAATGTCAAGGGGTCAGGTTCTGTGGGAACAGAAGGCGCCAGCGACCTGGAGTCCTTTCCTCCCCATCCCAGTCTGCACTATCCCAGTTCCTTGCCACATGGTGGGGACAAGACCTGGCCTCCTTAGGAATGAATCTGTGCATCTTCACTGTCCTCTTCTGTAGGGACATCTTCCATTGTGGGGTCCCCCAGTGACCCTGGATGACTGCCTTTCTTCTCTGGACAGCCATTCCCATTTTATAGACTAGGAAACTGAGGCCCTGCAAAGTCAAACAAACAAACAAACAAACAAACAAAACAGGCCTTTGGTTAACAGGCAGTAGAGTCAGCTCTTTACTTCAGTGTCCTTGACCTTCCTGGCTGTCCCTGGGGTACTTTCCCCAAGCCCACTGCCAGTTCAGACACCCATCTCTCTCCTTACCCCGTAGAACCCTGGGAAATAGAGTCGAAGGTAGAGAGAGAACTTTGCCCCATCTGGGGACAGTGGATCTCAGGTGGCAGCCAGGGGCAGCAGCTTGGGCTGTTGCCCACGGTGACAGGAGGACACGGTATGGTGGTCACCATGGGCTGTGGCTGTTATGTTCTTGGCCGCTGCTTTAAAAATAGTTAGGACTTCAAACATGGATTCCCTAGGCAAACAAACAACCCCGCGTCCGTCTGCCCGCGCATGCCAGCCACAGTGGATAAAATTAGCCTGGCGGTGATTACACAGACGTGAGGCTGGCCCATGTTTGCCCAGGCAGTGGGCTGGTTCCCAGCTGGGCTGCCCCGAGACCTCCCTGGCCGAAGCCACTCACTGTGGGAGAAGAGACTCCTGGGGGCCCCTTCCTTGGCTTAGGCGTACAGCAGAGCCATCAGGGGCTTCTGGGAGAGAAACACTGGGTTCTGGGTTTGAATCTTATCCGTGTTGTGCGCCACTGTGTGGCTGAAGAGCAAGAAATCTCATCTCTGTGCTCGTGTCTAATCGAGAAAATGCTGGCCGCTTCCCTTGCAGCTTGGGTAGGAGGCTGAGTGAGTTACTCTGTCTTAGTGGCTCCGGATCTGGCACACAGTAAATGGTCTTTCCTCCACAGGGGGTGTTAGCCAGGTGGGGTAAGCATTCAGGAACACTGATGTTCCACCTAGAAGCCCCAAACCACAGTTCTGCTAGATCAGTGATTCCATCTCTCCAATCTGAACAAGCAGAGGCTGAGAGAACACTGGCCCAGGACCTACCTGCTGGGCAAGCATCCACATCTCCACCCAGACTCTGGTAGTTGCTTTCCAGGTTGGGACCCCTAGGGCTTCTGGACAATTTAGAACCCTGGTTGTGATGGCTGTGTGTCCCTCAGGTGATCATGGGGGGCGGCCGGAAGTACATGTACCCGAAGAACAGAACTGATGTGGAATATGAACTGGATGAGAAGGCCAGGGGCACAAGGCTGGATGGCCTGGACCTCATCAGCATTTGGAAGAGCTTCAAACCCAGACACAAGGTAGCCAACGGCTGCAGATGGGGTCAGCTGTGGGACCTTGGGCCACGGGACCCCCACCCATGTCTCAGATGTCCTCTTCCAGTGAGGGTCCTGTTCATTCTATCCCTTACCGACCCGTGACTGACACTCCTGCTCCCTGCAGGGAGGGCACCAAGGGGGATGGTGACAGGGTCAGGGAGTCACCTGGATGGGCCCCAGGCAGGCTGGCACCTACAGGGGCACACAAACACAGGGAGTGCTGTGGGCCTGGATGGCAGGAAGTTGGGATCTACAGGCACGCAGAGAGGATACCACAGAAGCCGTGAGCAAGCGAGAGACATAGGGGGAGGCAGGGCAGGGCAGACAGATCACAGGCCAACACAGCTGAACAGAAGCTGTACGAGCGAGCGAGGTGTAAAGTCCTCAGAGCACATCCCCTGGGCCGGGGCGTGGGTGGGCTGGGAGGCTGGAGCAAGGTCAGGCCAGGCCCTGGTTCCTCCCAGCGGCCTCTGGCCCTTTAAATCTGCCGCTGTGGGCCAGCGGGGCAGCTGGATCTGGAAATGACTGTGGTCAGGGCTGAAGACAGTGGGGAGCAGCCGGGCAGCCGCTCTGATCTCACTCTGGGGTTGGGTTTCTCAGGGTTCCAGGGCGGTCCCTGGGGAGGCTTGATGGGATGAGGCTGAGCTAAGAGTGTGGTTGGTGCTGAGCTGGGGACAGCCCCATGCATGGGTACAGGGTGTGCGAGTGAGCGACTTTCCCCTCTAGGGCAGGCTTGGACAGGCAAACCAAAGAAACACCACCCCCCTTCTTGCCTCAGTTTCCACGATCAGGGCCAGCAAGCCATCCTCTTGCCCCAGGACTCTGTATAGACTCCTGGCATGGGGAGGGACCCGTACTATGGTTCTGAGCCCTGCCTGATAGGGTCCCTGTTCTGGGCATCAATAGTATGGCCCGGAAGTGGTTCTCAATACCCTGATGTATGTGTGCCTCAGCATCCTCATCTGTAAAATGGGGACAGCTTGAGAGACTGCTGTGGGGATTGCCTGACACAGCAGGGCACTGGGGACCTGAGCCTGATTCTTGTGTCCCTTCTCCCGTCCCTTCTCCCTGCTCCCAGAGGAGTATTGGAGTATTGGAAAAACAAAACAGAAACAAAAACCTGCTCCTAAGGCCACTGCCCAAAGAAGGCAAGGAGCTCTCTTGAGGACACAGCAAATTCTTCACAGTGTGGGACCACACACCTGGGCCCTGGATAATCCACACCGAGTCTCACCCTGTGTTCCTGTGCTCTGGGGAAGGGGTGGGACTCCCAAGGCACAGCAGGTGGACTTCACTCCTGCCTGGCTCTCCAGGGACCCCCAAACACCACTCCTTCCTTCCTGTAGGCATTCAAGGTCTCTGTGGTCTCATTTTTACCCTGTGACACCCTTGTGGGAAAAGCAGTTCCCTGATCTCAGGTGGATCAGTTTCTACTTTGCCTTCAAGACCCCCCCCCAAAAGGTATCACCTCCACCAGGAAGCCCTCCTTGATCCAACCCCCAGGATCCTCATCTACCCGGGTTATACATGATAATCCCTGTATATCTGTCGTTTCTTGAGTACAGAGAAGGTAGGTGCTCAGGGCAGGATGTTAAATGATGCAGGGAAACGGAACCACCCTGACTTTGAGGCCAGCCAGGGTTGTCCCCCGTATTTCCCAACCTGCACTGACGCAGCCCTTCCCACCCCCCAGCACTCCCACTATGTCTGGAACCGCACTGAGCTGCTGGCCCTCGACCCCTCCACGGTGGACTACCTCTTAGGTAAGTAGAGAAGGTGGGGATCCCATGGCTGGGGCTGTAAGAGGCAGCCCCCCACCCCCATGCAGGGCCTTTCCAGAGGGAGGAAAAGAGGTGTTGAGCTATTCAGGGAGATGAGCCCCAGTTGGCAAAAAAAGCCAAGATCAGAGAGGGAGCGGCACATGGCAGAGTCAGGACAGAACCAGCCAGGCAGCCCCTGCCAGTCGTCAGGGTGACCCCTGCTCCCCAGAGAGTGGTGACCAGCAAGGAGAGTGGGCACTCCAGAGGCCTATTGGCACAGAGGCCAGCTTGCCCGCAGGAGGGCCACAGGGCCTGAGCTGTGGGCGGCTAGTGGCTCCTGCTCCCAAGATGCTCGGGGAGGCGTGGCACTGGGCTTCCCGTAGCTGTTGTTCAGCCGTCGCATGGTGACGTCGTCGCACAGTGACCGGGTGAGAGGTGGCTCTCACATGGGAGTAGCCCAGGGCCAGTGAGCAGAGCAGACAATGACCCCTAAGTTTCTGCCGCTTCACCGCACAGGCCGCTGTGCCCTCGGACCTCACCTACAAATGTGCACACGCTTATGTTGCCCCTCTGAGCCCCGTCCAGAGTCCAGTGCCTCAGAGATATGGTGCTGTGTCCTCTCGGGTTTGAGTCGCAGATCTGCCCTTTCACCTGCTGAAAACAACAAGTTGTTGGGCCACTCAGAGCCTTTGTCTCCTCCTCCTCCTCCTCTGAGAGGTGGGCCGTAGACACCGCCCCCCCCCACCCTGTGCCCCTGGTCAGGTGAGCTGTAGACCCCATGGCCCTCGTGAGGTGGGCTGTGCGGATAATGAAAAGTCTTGCCGGGCGGTGGTGGCGCACACCTTTAATCCCAGCACTCGGGAGGCTGAGGCAGGCGGATCTTTGAGTTGGAGGCCAGCCTGGGCTACAGAGTGAGTTCCAGGAAAGGCACAAAGTTACCCAGAGAAACCCTGTCTTGAAAAAACAAACAAAAAACAAAACAAAACAAAAACACCACCTCTTGAGTCCCGTTCTGGATCCACACAGTCTCCCAGGCAAGATTCCCTCCCTGCTACATTTGCCGCAAGTTGAGCGTAGGGGTTTGTATCACTTTGTATCCTCTGTGACACCCCAGGTTCCTTGGGGTCCTCCCTGCAGGTTCAGGACTCCTGGCACCCACATTCTTGCCTTTGCCCACAGGTCTCTTTGAACCCGGGGACATGCAGTATGAGTTGAATAGAAACAACCTGACCGACCCTTCGCTCTCCGAGATGGTGGAGGTGGCCCTCAGGATCCTGACAAAGAATCCGAAAGGCTTCTTCCTGCTGGTGGAAGGTAGGGCCCGATGGAGACTAACCTTTCAGAAACGTGACGGGTTAGGCGGTGGGATGGTACAGTTTTCAAAGAGAACTGCCAGTTTAGGGGTGAAGAGAGAACTGCCTTTCCACCAACCCAATCTGAGAGGGCTTCCTGGCAGAGGAGGCAGCCGTCTCCCTTTGAGCCGTCTTTCTCTGGACCTGGCTGTGGAGGGCCATCCAGCCTCTAAGCATCACCCATGCAAAAACAGTTCCACCTGCGCTCAGGGTGGAGAGATGATGGTGGGGTTCTCGTCCTTATCCACCACAGCCATGGGACCTTCACTAAGCATGTGTGTAAAATAAGGCCAAAAATTGTCCCCTGTCCTAGAGCGGTGACTCAGCTCCGTTGTGCTCAGAAGTGTAAAGCAAGGACTGAGTGTTGGGGCAGATGAGTCAGTGAAGTGCCTGTCACTCGAGCATGGGGACCCGAGTTCAGATCACAAAACATCCCGAGAAGTCAGGCGTGGTGATGAGCGCCTGGGCGGCACTGGACGGGTGGAGATGGGTGGGTCCCCGAGGCTCAATGGCCAGCCAGCCTAGCTGAATTCATCACCTTCAGGCTCACTGAGGGACCTTGTCTTGAAAAAAATAAAAAATGGAGGTGGAGGGGCTGGAGAGATGGCTCAGCAGTTAAGAGCAAATATTGCTCTTGCAGAGGACCCGAGTTCAGTTCCCAGCACCCACATCAGGCACCTCACAACCACTTGTGTCTCCAGCTTTGGGGGATCTGACACCCTCTCCTGGCCTTCGTAGGCACCCCCTACACACACAAACACACACACACATGCACACACACACACACACACACACACAAAGAGAGAAAGAGGTGGAGAGTTGGGGGAAAAATCTTGAGGCTGGAGAGATGGTTCAGCAGTTAAGAGTGCTTGCTACTCTCCCAGGAAGCTTGGTTCCCACACCCAC